CCAAGCAGGTGCCTTCCTGTCCGTTCAGCTCGCGGACGGACTCGGCAGCAAATCATGATGTTCGCTTTCTGTCGCCCAAAACAAATTTCAGACATTCTATGGCACTCTGGCTAGCAGCCTCAAGTATCGCTCATGTCTTAGCCGGCGCTAGTTTGCCCCAGGTCCTGCGGAGCACTGGCCTTCGCTTTTTGTACGTTGACATTTTTTCCGTGAAGCCAAGCTGGGGGTCTATTGCATCCAGGAAACCCACAGCGGGGGAAACAACAACATGAACGCCCTTCACACGTATCGACACGGAACTACGAAGACATGCTTCGTAAGGGCTGCTGGGCGTCAGGGGCTCCGGCATTTCCACGAAATACTCTCGCAACCAAAACGCATACATGACTGGGCAAGTCTGTCCTTCTGACCAGAGCCAGATTGTTGGCCATAGATGTCAGCAACTAAGACCCATCCGCATAAGTCTGGGATTTCGTCAGGCTCCAACCAGGTGACATCAACAGGCCACTTGAAGCGAAAGCCCGAAAAGCGAACATTTTTTAAATAACCTTTTCGAAGCCCTTCCGTACTTGACAAGCCACTCTTATCCCGTGGATGATGACATGAACTCCGGGACGAAGGACCTCGTCGACACTCAGCAAGCGGTGAACTTGAACATGTGCTCACTGTTGCATACCGTACGATGTTCTACAAGAGCTGTTCCTGCGTTGGGCATCATTTAGCAGAGCTCACGAGATGACTGATAGCCGCACGTGGTGACAGCTTGGGTCACTGACGCCTCCCGATGAGCCGCGGGGATAGTTACGCCGTCCGTCGGACATTGGGCTGGTGACATTTGTGCAGGTCTGAATAAGGGAAATTAGAATCTCCAGATGCCACGTATGACATTTGCCTCTGTCATCCTGTCTCCTGTTGAGCATGTTGAAATCGACATGTCTCTGCTGAAACTCCCTATATTATGCTCCAGAGAGCCCTGCATGAACCTGGTGTGCTGCAACACATACACTAACAACTCCCAATTATGTCAAGCGCGTTGCAAGTACAGTATGTTGCAATGTCACAGCTGCCCGAAGAGCAAAGTACGACAATTTCCTCTCGCGGGCCCAGCGGATCGTCATGGACTCGTGCTCGACAACTGGCAAAGGCACGATGCGCCACGCTCTTTCGGTACCATTGAACAGTGGCAAAGATATCAAGAGCACACTCCGCTCTTATATAGCCGCTCTTCCGTACGATCTGAAATTGCATGCCCCCAGGCCAAGGCAAGAAATAGTGGGCTCAGACAAGTGCGGAACATGTCAGCTTCGAACCAGCACTGATTGCATGACACACTATAGACTAGACTCTCGCACAAAGTGAGTTGGGTGGAATGTGGACAGCAATGCTGAGAAGGCTGAGAAGCGTTTAGCGGGGGACTTCGTGGAGTCTCGCGTTCCCGTTGCGACGCCTGCTCCAGCGATTGGAGCTGCTTCATTCTGTCGACCATCGCCTTTCCGGTCTACAGGGAGGGCTCTCATGGCTCTCACATGCTCTCACATTGTCATGGAAGCGGTTGCATATGGCCTTGACTTCGGTGTCCTGGTTCACCTGTCGACTCACCGAGAAGCTTCAATTGGACCATGTGGGAATGTGATGATATTGACAAAGATTGATATTGCCCTGCTTCGTGAGCTCAGTACACAGCATCAGCATTTGAGTGCATGTCTGGCCTCTTTGGCACTGTGGCCCTGGGATCTGAGGGACATCCTCAGCATCAGAAGAAGACGTCCCGTCCCTCGTATCTTTTTTTTGCGCCGCGGGAGTAAGCAAGTAAGTTCGTGTAAGCGTGGGAGAGGACGATGTCGATTGACTGCGTGTGGAGGATGGAGACTGCGAACACGAACTTGCACAGCTAGCTGAGGTTCGATGATCAACTCAGACCCATTTTGCTGGATTCTTGCAGCTCTGGGCCGAACTGTATGGAACGAACGCTAAACAGACAAATGGACAAACCAAGAACCCAAAATGGGATCTTTAATGCAGACGCTGAAATAGAATTGCACGTAGAATTACACGGCCCATTGACGAATCACGGGCACCTTTTCCAAGGCCCGCCAAATCGATGTGAGACTTTGTGCTAGTTTGGTCGTTTAACATCGAAGAAAGTCTGAACCATGTCAATGTGAGATGCAGGGGTGCTGGAGCACAGTTGCGAGGAAAACGACCCCGCCGTGCCAGTTCCCACTGCGACACGTGGATGTCCAAACGATTCCGTACGCAGTCGCAAGAATGCTTCGACTAGTCGCGGCCGAATTGTCCTTGAAGGCATGGCCGATTTAAACCCAGCTCTACCCAGTTAAGAGTTCTATGCAGTTGACAAACACGGTCCAGGATTGATCAAGTGGGTTTGTTGTGGGCTTGGGCCTCTTCCTAGTGACGTAGTCCGCACTGGCCGTTCCGTGGTTTTGCCGGGTGGAGATTGTTTTTTTGCCACGTTTTTTGTCACTCTTCTGTTGGTGGTGTGTGTGTGTGTGTGTGTGTGTGTGTGCGTGTGTGTGCGTGTGTGTGTGCGTGCGTGTGCGTGTGTGTGTGTGTGTGCGCGTGTGTGTGTGTGTGTGTGTGTGTGTGTGTGTGTGTGTGTGTGTGTGTGTGTGTGTGTGTGTGTGGGTGCGTGTGTGTGTGTGTGTGTGTGTGTGTGTGTGTGTGTGTGTGTGTGTGTGTGTGTGTGTGTGTGTGTGTGTGTGTGTGTGTGTTCTCGATATTTTCCATGGGAAAACCTCTAAATTCGCCAGGCATGTGTAGGGGCAAGAGCCCTGGTTACCCTGTTACGGCGATCGACCATGGTAGCTGTATGGCCGTGCCTTTTGAAAAACTTTCCAACAACAACTCCCGCCTAAGAAGACTTTCGGCGCACGATAATTCTATCTTTCCTTGTTCACTCGTCCACTCGTGTCAGTATTCGTCATGTGCGAGCTTATCCACCCACCCCGGTCATCACCGTGGTCGAGCGCATGGGAAGCCCCTCTGGCCTGGTCCCACGCCAAATGCCACAAAGCCAACAACAACCTCAACATGACGAAGAACCCGACGGAGACAACGACCTCCCATAACAAACCTCCAAGCCGAGAGCCCAACGACGAGAAGTCACAACCAAAACACGACTTTAAAAAACTCAGAGTATCTCAGAGTGGTCATGGACTTCGCCAAGTCATTTTCTTTCGTGCTCTTGTGTATTTTGGGGATATGAATCCCTCCCCACAGTATTTTCAATGTAGAAACGCATCTTCGCATCTTCACCACATCACTCAGCAACACCTCCCCGAGCATTGCTCTGCGGGAATGCAATAAGGGCACCGCTTCTTGTTGGGAATATCGATGGTTCGGAGACGGAAGAGCTCGTCAGCTTGCGCTTTGTTCAGGCTTCCGACCTTTGATGAGTCTTGCCCTGGAAGACTTTAGAAGGGCCCGCCTCCGAACAGGAGCTAAGAGTGGCGCATGCTCGTCGACCTTTTCCAGGTAGCCCTGGGAATTTAGATTCGCTTCTACATGCTTCTACAAGCTCAAGTACTGAGGAAATCAATCTCGCCTGAAGCAAGCCCCACGTCATGAAATGTCTGAGAGATATCTCGAGCTCTTTGATATCCTCCCGGAACAATTTTAGAATGCCGATTGTGGAGAGCAAACGCAAAAGTCTCCTCGTCGCACGCCTTGCAACCAAACAGAGGCAGGCAGAATGTTTAGCAGAAGATAATGACATGATCCCTCCAGATCCCTCCAGGATACCTGTTGGAAGTGACTGAGATCTTGCCCTTCACACGCCACCAGAGCCTTGCCAAAACGTCGTGCCGACACGCACCGAACGATGACAGGTTCTTTCAAACAAGCCGTTCCCACATACAGCGCCATCACCTTTTGAATTTCCTGGGCTGACCAAAGTGACAGCACATGGCAAGCGCAGCACCTAGCATGCTCCGCATCCTTTAACCGCTTTTACTGCCTTTTCAGATCATTCAGTTCAACATGCGCACAGGCTGCCCATTGTTTCAATTATTTATTACTCAATGCTCCTCCCTCCGACTCCGTCATCCTGCTGCGCGCTGTCGTGCGTGATGTGCGTGACGGCAAAAAGGCGCAAATCTTCCAGACCCTGTTGGAGACCAAAGGCATCAAGCCCCGGTCAGTATTCGATAAGTCATGGATGCTGTCATCTTGGTACAGGGTGTTACAACTGCTGCGAGTAGCTGTAGAATATGGAGCGAACAGTCTGTAGCAGCTGTAGCATGCGTTGCACGTCATTTCACGAGTCCAGGACTCTGCTTCCTGCTCCTCGTCGGCCCGGCTGTCAACTCTCCGTCTCCCGGCTGTAACGTAGTGCACCGCCTGCTGCCTACAGCGTCTGGCTGACTGTGTACAAAGTACCTAACAAATAAAGCAAGTCCACAACGTTGAGAGCCCTGCCCCAGGGCCACATCTTCAAGAACCATGTGGTATGCAGGGGTGAGTCTGCGTGCGCATTGTCTGGATATGTTGAATGACAGGCTGCTCGACAACAGGAAACTCGCCAGCATGACCTGTACTTGCAGTCCGAGCGGATTTCAGGGATCAGGCGAATGAGGTTAAAGTGAAGCAGATGTCTGAGGATCATGACAACCTTGCGGCATTGGTTCTTACTGACACACGTGTATCATGCAACGACTCCGACGACTGTCGAGCAGATAAAACTGAGAACGCGGCATAGTCACTTCTTAGCGCACAGCTGCGTGCTATGCATTGGACGCTGCTTACCTGGTGCAGTGGCTGTGTGTTGGTCCAACCCGGTTCCAGCCAGTCTGGCAGCTTCCAGTTGGCTTCCAAGCCCTGGGCACCATCTATGAGTGGTATTACCTCTGCAACTGCTGGGTCCTTAGAGAAGAATTGAGGATTGAGGGAAGCGCTGAAATGCCCAGCTATACTGCCAGTGCGTTTCTCAGGTCGAGTCCAAACTGAACGGCAAGGCCTGGCATGCACACAAGATCACCGAACTCTGCAACTCCGCCACCCTTCGATTTAGCCGAGTTCGGAACCGGCAGCTTGGCAGCAGACCTCTTCTCAAGTTTCTCAAGTGCGACTCAAGCGCTGCACATGCTGGGACAAGCATGAGCAATGCCAGGGCAATGCATGCCATTCAAGCGTGTCCTGCGCGATGGAGGGTCAAGGAGCTGGAACAAGTCCATAAGTGGCACGGGAACCAGCGTGTCATCTTCAATTTTTGTGAGCGCCTGGCAGTACCAAAGTATGCTGCGGACGAAGGCGGCGCAGGCTGTCAAAAAGCCGCTTGGCATCGGGCCGGAACCCACCTCCGGACCTGAAAGGATGCAGTGGACCTTTGGACGGGCTACTGACTTTACTTTTCCTGGCGCATGGCCTTGAAAGATATCGCGTGAGACATATCAATGCGCACGAAGCACTCCTTCAGAGCCAGGAGCAATGGGCCAAGTGGTTCGGGCATGTTGCAACGCCGTGGCGCGGTCCTCGGCATCGTTTATTTGACGCCGGAGCTGCCCCAGGATGTCCTGGCTGCCGGCAGCTGAAATACGAGTAACTACTGAGGCAGAACCAAGGCCTAGCCTTGTGGCAACAACCCCATATATTCAAGGCTTCAGACTACATGGACAGAAACTTTAACGACGAGAAGACGTGACAACACCCAAGAAGAACCAATAGCAGAGAACCGGAAGGACCGACACATTGGTCGCGACTGCAATGCAGCTTACATGGCCTGCCTTTGCTTGTGTGACTTGTTCTCTGAATTGACTGGCTTCAAGGGCTTCCGGATCCGTTTGCGTGTTACACGCAGTTTCAGGCTGAAGATCACTGAAACGTGAGGGTTGAGGGCAACACATCTGTCTTGAAGGCCCCACTGTTCGTGGTGCGTCAGAATACGGCGTTTGCTTCTTCACGCTGGTTGCTTCTTTGCCAAGGGATAAGTATTGTAGTAGGCATTCTACTACTACCCTAAATAACCCTTGACGATGCGGAGCTGACACTGAAAGCGGTACCTCGACGTACTAGTTCAAGGTGACAGGTCGCCGATCACCAGAATTCAAGTACATTACCGCCTTGTCTCGAGCAGGCGGCCCGATTTGTCTTGTCGGGCTGGGCTGGTCGAGGCTTCTGCTGGAGGAGAGTCGGGAGTGTGGCGGACTGGCATGTCCTCTTTGTCCGAAAAAACGCCAGAATGTTCTTTTGCACTGGTCGCAGGCAGCTGGTCCCTTCAGTTCCGCATACATGGGGTGGTTTCTGCAACAGGGTTTCTCTTGCGGCCGTTCCTGGTTTCTGTCACTCCCTACACCCTGCTCAGCGTTGCGGGAGCATCCAGGAATTTCAAGTCGATGTGGCTACATCTGCAAAGGCGTTCTTCATTGCAATTGTTGCTTGGGTGAAACTTTCTTGTAGAATTGCAGAACGCGAATTGTCAGAATCCTAGACTCTAAGCTGGTTTGGCTTTCGTCATTCATGGCTACAGCAAAGGACATGTCTTTGGCCGGGCCATGTTCTAGCAATTCTAGCCGGGAGGTTGGAAAAGGGGCCGATCTTGCATTGATGCGATGATGGTACGATTTGCCCGGATGAGCACTTGAAGCAATGCTAATTAATCTGGGCGTTGCATGTTTCTGGGAAGCCTTCCCGGCCTAGGATAGCACAAATTGAGATATTGAGAAAACATCTTCAAACATCCAAACAAGCAAGACAAGTGAAACTTTATACGAGCACTTCCGACAACTAAAATGGGGAAAGGCTTCCAAAGAAGCACTGGAAAGATGTCCCAGCATCGAACAAACATTCGGGTTCCCAAGGGGATTTGCCATGCATCGACTGGCATTGCGGCTGTAGGTGAGGTTCTTCTGGGTTTACGGAACTGGCCGTTTCGAATTTGATTTGGACGAAATTAACACAAAGAAAAGTCGCAGTGAGGAAGAAAAAGTATCGATGTTGCTCAGGCTGTGGGATTGCCTAGACAAGCGGCAACAGCGTCGTACAATGTCCTACATCTCGTTGCGGCATCTTGCGGCCTGTGTATTTCGATGGCAAATGAGCAGGATGCCAAGACATCGGTTTCTGCCAAACGATCATTAATTGCTGTTTTCGACTCAGGCCAGGTTGCTTCGACGTACTAACAAATTTCTCTAGAACACTGATTATGTAAGGGTGGTACTGCAACCCTATAACCAGGGAGTTTAACAAGATAGATGTATCCACTCAGGTGCCAGACCATGGTCGCCAATATCGCGCAGGCGTTGAGATAAGCTGAGATGGGCTTCTTCCCTGAGGTTTTTCTACGTTGCACTTTCGTGCTACTTGGGACATTTTGTTTTCGTTTAAGCGTTCTGGTGTATTGACTTGTGTTTCACGAAAGAAGCCACGCGCAAGCCTGGGCCTGGCAGGCCTGGGCGTCTGGATTCGTTGAAGTTAAGTTCGTTATGGACATTGACGCTTTCTTTGCTCGTGACTTTCTTTTTTCTTGAGAGTTTGCTTGCTTTGGGCGAGTTCAAAGTTGTGTCCAGGGAGAGCCTTCAGGTTGAACGGGGTCAGGCCGAAGGCTGCGCAGCAGCAACAGTCAAAGGGAGTCCGCTGCACAAAGTGCCAGAGTTGAGAGTCTTGTTCTGCGGCCCATTTCGGCAACAGCGGGCCGAGCCAGGTAGGACACACGATAGATTCTGCTAGATGCTGCCCGAATATGTTCAGGTGAAGCAATCCTCAGAAGCTCTAGAATGAAAGCTGCCTTGGTCTGGGCGACTGAGTGGTTCTAAGTGGATTGGCCTCAACACCGTGACCAAACTTGTGAGGCGCTGCATCTGCTGGGATGCTCAAATCGCATTCCGAAATAGAGATTCGTTGAGGCCTTTGAGGTCTTAACGCACTGCTCATGTTGCAACGTGGGCTATGGGTGTGGTTGGGATGCATCCATCATCATCAGTGCTGAGCCACGAGCTGGGACCCTGTCATTTGTATGAAGTGGTGACAAAGCACATCGCATTCTTGCACAGCGGTGTGATCTGCCAGGTGGTTCTGCATTCGGGCCAGCCATTACAAACTAGCCAATGCATGAGTTGGAGCTAGGGTTCTGGTCATTTGCCTTCCAACCTGCCTGATGATAGCAGGTGTTTTCACCCCACAAATCCCGACATGACATGCAACCTGCAATGCTGTAATTCCTCGCTGCTGACTCGATTTCCCCAAGATGCTTTTGCAGCAACATGCAACATGTACTCATCCCGACTCATCCCTCAAGCCTGGATGGAGATTTTATCTCCTCAGTACGTCCAGCTGAGCAAACACGACTTCAAACGGAAGAGTGCAGCAACACGGCATGCAAGCAAGCTTCTCGGATTCGACAGTAGTCTGGTGTCGACCTGGGGACAACCCCACAGTTAAGACAAAGTACATGTGCAATATGATGTAATATGTCTATGTGGTACTCGCGTGCCTCCAATGTGTGAAAAGACATGGCCTGAGCTGATGCTCACGTCTGTTCTCTCCTGGATTCAGCCGGGTTCACCCTTGAGGCTCCGAACGAGCAGCTGCGCTATGTCACGGTAGGGCTCATGGTGCTGGCTGCTGTCAATTACCTTGGAGCCAGCAGCTTCAATTGTACCTTCATCTGATTTTGGGAGCACCACTTCGCCACTTGGCGACCGACCATGCACATGTTGAACTGGAAGCTGTTCCGATGATAGAAGGCATCCTGCGTCAGTCTGCTGAACAGCGAAGGGAGCGTGCTCTCTGATGTGAAGCTGCTCCTCGATGTACACAGGAGTCCCCATCATGACCTAGACGAGATTGTGTTGAGAGGGCCAAGTGTGCACCCTGTGTCATGTCCAGCCCAACCCCTCATTAGCAAGATGACCTGCGCAAACGAACTGACAAAGCTTAGGTCCAGTCTGGGAAAAAGGAGAAGCCTAGACAAAACGGCACACAAGCCGAAACTGGCAAAAGCAACCAAGAAGGCTAGAAGCCAGGAGGCAGTGTAGGAACCCCTTTGGGCAAAAGGACCTTTCAGACTCTACAGGATGAGTCTCCTAAAGGAAAGACTTTTCGAAACTTTTCAGACTCTGGCAAATGGATTATCGTAGGGCCGTGGGGGATTTGAGGGGCAAACGCCATCAATGCCCAAAATCTATTTCATTGGGGGCGGACAAGCATTGCCGCAGCCCGAAACAGGAAACGATGAAGTATCATTCAAGCTCCAGAAAGCTAATGTGCTCGATTAACATACAAGTTATGCATATGGCCATGAACTTGGCTTTGTTGCTTCTCTCGATATTCACATTGAGTTCCAAGTTGCCCGGTCGCCACACACAATGGAGACAACCCGGCCCTGCACGACAGCGGCACATCGAATGAAGTACGAGATTCAGCTGCCCGTGAAGTTTGGCGAACGTGGAGCGATGCAGTGCCATCAAGTGCCGTCCTTGATTGTTGAATCCGGAAGGAGGTAGTGACCTCAACTCGAAGCAAAGAAATCGCAAAGCAGTTCCCCTCAGAGGTTGTGAAATCTGTTCGCCGAGCAAGCCAAGGAAGCGGCCAACCTGTTGAAAAGAGTTGCTGGCCCCTGGTGGATCGGCGCACTGAACGATTGGTCCGGCATCCTGCCGCTCAGGAAAAGTGGAAGAATTGATTGGTGCCGCATGCAAAACCAGGAGAAAACAGTTGTAAAGCATGCGAGAAACAACATGCGGAAAAAAAAACAACTCTCCTTGTCGAAGACGCAGAAAAGCAGAGCTTCAAGGTGGCACTTGGTATCGGCTTTAGCGCCATTGCTGGACATACTCTTCTGATGTTCACTGTGAGCTGGAGATTGCATAAACCGAAAAAAGTGGTTGATGTGAGGTTGGCTTGGACAGGCTTGCTGTACTCAGCAGGTGGCTGACACATGCCTAGTTGCAAATGAAGGCCTGTGACTGGATTTCTCATGCTACAAATTTCATGCTGCTGCAAACTGCACTTCAGCAGAAAATTCCGGGGACACACGAAAAAGAAGCGCAAGGGAGCATAACGCCCGAGTCTGTGTAGTCAAGCACTGAACGCAAGCCTAAACTATCCTAAAACTTCCCCACGTCCTAGTCCATTGCCAGAGGAGCTTCGATCGTTTGGTGAGCGGCGGCGTGGCACCATGGCTGCCTCTTATTTGAATGTCGGCCCAAGCAACCGCATCCTGAGCCAGAAAAAGGTTTGGAGGCTTCCTGAAATTTCTCGAACATTCGGGCCCTGAAGTGCTCTGAAACACGAAAGGGAAATCTAGGATCTTTTTGTCAATTGTTTCCTGGAGAAAACCGCCAAGTCGAAATCTGTCAAATCCTTGAACGAATGCCATGCTCGCTTCTGTCCGCTGCCTGGTCTTTTGCCCGTTTCAATGCTCGCGGAGTTCCTCCTGTGTCATTGCTGTACCAGCTCAAGACTCAGAAGGATCTGCCGTCTCCAGCTTGCCTCACCGGCTTGGAATGCAGCATCACCACCCGGACCATCCGTGTGATTTCTTCTGTCTTAGGACCCCAAAGGGCTTCTGTTGTGTCAGAAATTGTCGGAACTTGTCAGGTCAGTCTGGAAGGCGCAGCTTCGAGGGTATGTACCTCAAGTTCGTCAGAATCTATCCAATCTAAGGACCCACGCAAGCTGTTCAACGGCATCGTGCAGCATGCAGCAGCTCTGACAGTATCGATGGTGTGGAATGTGGCTACAACATTGCACGACACAGGCATACACCTTCTTGCGTGCATGACACTAATCATCTGGCCACTTCACGCCACTCCTTGTTCGGGTTTGCTCAAGCTGCGTCGCCTTTTGCCAGCATGCCTTCCTCGGCTTCGCAATGACTGCCACTCGCTCAACAAAACACAAGCTGGCTCACTGTTGCATGAATGCTCCATCTTGAAAGAGGCCGTTTCGCACGTCATTAGCACTCATCGCATACTTGCTGCCAATGTGAGATGCCCTTTCATTTATGCTTACGCATGCCTAGAAACCATTTTCTCGTGCAGTTTCCAAGCCCTAAGGAACCTGGCTCCAAAACCACTTCTTCAACCAACCCTGACAATCCTCACCTTGTTAAATCAAACGTATGTTTTCACTGGTTGGTGTTGGTGACCTCAGCCAAGTTTCTTGAAGCGAGCAAGTCAGGCTTAGCTGCTCAGCAAAGCTGCCTCGTAACTTCTACGCCCCCAAGTGATGTTTCGTTTCGAGTTTCTCTTTTCGAGTGGTCTTGGTTGGAGATCTGTCTCCAAGTTCTGTTTATCTAGGGGTTTGAGAATCCAGATCGGAGTGCAGCAAGTGCACCACCCCTCATTTCAAGGCAAGGCAGAGTCCGCCACCAGCCTTCAAAAAAACTCGCCACGCAATCAGCATCCGGCACCGTCAGGTTGCCACGTCGTGCATTCCGCGATGTCAAAGGTTCATGTTTTCGAGACTCAGAGGCTTAGCTGGCTTAGCTGGCTTAGCTGTTCGGCAGGAAACTGTCTCGTTCGACGGGTCCGTTTCAGATGGGACTGGAAGGAGCAGCAGAGCCGGCCAAAGAGTAGAGAGGCAGCAAACATCAGCAAACGCAACCAGAATCAACCAATGCTTAACTTTCACTTCGGCCATTCTTGTTGATGAGAAGAACTCGGGGAGCTTCCAAGTTGGCCGTTGGGCTACAGAAGCTGTTGGGTCGAAAGGGGCGAGATTTGAGGTAACGAAAACCCACACAGCCGCAAAATTCGAGCACAAATGTCCGAAAGCGAGCCGTAAGGGCAGGCTGAGCTAAAGATAGAGAAGCAGGAGACTCAGGCAAATGTTGCGGTTTTGCGTAGCTCTCACTCTCTCTGTCTCTCTCAGGCGCTCCCTCCCTCTCCGAGGCACAGGGCACAAGGACACCTTCCTTGTCCCAGATCCCTAGATCCATCCCAGTATATCCCAGTTTCCAACTTTGCGACGAGGTCGGCCACTCTGGGATTTTTCTTGTGCAACTCCAGGTTGGAAGGATCCATAATGACCTTATCGTGAAGGTGCCGAGCAGGCCTCGTGCGCCCTCACCGATATCCCAAGTTCGCTGTCCACAAGATGCGCATGCAGCAAGGGCACATCCTGGATAACGGCCATTCCTTCCGGATCCTTGGCGGCGTCTGCAATCTCCTGGTCGTTGAGCAGTTTGAGTGTGAGCTGTGGGTCCTCGGCCACGGCACAAAGTGTACGAAATTGGCGAGCCGATTGGATCTCCAGCACTGGACAAGTCAAGAAGCCATGGTTGGGACTCCGCCGTCTTCTGCACTTTGTGGCCGTGCTTGCGTGCTGGGCATGGGCTGAGGCTCTGGAGTTAGATTTGCCTGGCTGAAAGAGATTCTGCATGTCCCACACATACTCTAATACATCCAACTCTGGAGTCATGCCGGGCCGCCGGGTCAAAGGCCAAAGGATCCTCTGGAACTTTGGCCATCTTTTCGTCAAGAAAAGACTCAGCGCATGAAAAGATCGCCAAGAAATGCAAGGGTCCAATTCGCAATATCGGAATCCTTCGGGGGAAGGTAACCGTGCTGCAATCATGACTTGTGCTACTCGGGTGCGAGTATGTCCATCATCTCGTCACTGGCGATGCCATGTTTCATTTCGTACCTGCCAAGAAACTGTCGAGTCTAGGCAGCACTTGCTCGTACATGTCATCGAAGGTTGTCTAGCCAAGTTGCTCTTTGAACAGCACGGCAATTTCCCTGTTGGGCTTGCCCAAGAGACTTGCCATCCTGACGGCATTCCCACAACTTGGTCGGCGACATCCTCTTAGTTTTTTAACAAAGCTGTGGCCACTCGTGCTTAAGGGTCACAGTGGTCACAGCAATCATTTTTTAAAGTTCGCGAGTAGCTTCTCAGGGCTTGCAGGAAGGGGGAAGCGATGGGAAGCGATGCTCTGCTGAAAGGAAAGCATTTCATTGACGTCTGCCGCTGATGCCCGCCATCAAGGAACAAACGCCCGCGGCCTAGAGCCTTCGCTGAAAGGGACCACTTCGTCATTCTTGCCGTGACATATCAGGATCGGCAGGCGACTGTTCGCAGGAGCTATGCCTTCAACATCATGCAGCAGGCGGCATGCTTGCGCACGCAAGCCAACACTGACAATAGTGGATATCATCACAGAATCTCACAACTCCGTCATGCTGCTGAGGGTCTCACCTGGGGCCAAAAGAAGATGAAGAAGGCTGAGCCACGTTTACGACATGTCTGTAAGACTCACTAGAATTCTGTAGACAGAAGGCGTAGGAACTATTTGCCAAGACACTTCTGGGGCTCCGAGGAAGCCAGACAAAACGATCGCGCCACCAAGGGCTGAATCTGGGAAGCTTAGTGCTGCACGGAGGGCACAACCAGCACCCTGTCGGGCATACTCTCCGGATGTATTTCGCATCATTTTAGACAAAGCAAACTCTCTCCGCTTGCGCCTGTGCAAACCCCCCAATGACAATTCGATGGGCCGGAACCTTGCGGCGCCACACAGCAAAGCGGCAAAGCCAATCTGAAAAGGCTGAGCTTTTCTTCCACCGTGTGCCGGACTCCGAGGGCAATCTCTCGCCGGACCATAGCGTGCAAGTATGCCGCCACTGGCTGGACAACCTGGAAGACTGAATATCGACAGGCCAAGCACCGCTCACTTGCCAAACTCAAACAGATGCTTCGGCTTCGAATGCCGTATGTCATGTGCTTTGGAGACCGCATCGACTCGACAGCAGCGCATCGTCTGCCTTGTCATCGATGATCCACTGGCCGTTTATTGGCAAAAACCACGACTGAAGTTGTTGACCCTGCAGACTCTCCTGCGTCCGACTTGTGAGCAGCTTCCGCCCTCGGCCCATGCAAAGGGATTGTTTTAAATTAAGCTCCCGTTGAAGGGACGTCTATCACCCCAGACTCAGCACTTTGTCCTGAGGGGCCTGTGGCAGAATCAAGCGAAGACCTGGCACTTGTAGCAGTGGCTGGAAAGTGTCAGCCAGAAACCTCACACTTGACAGATCTTGACAGTGTTCATGGGAGTTGGTAGGTGCGCACAGGCTGCAGTTCTGCGGCAGAACTGAGCTCATGGCTGTGAATTTTGGTCCCCGAAACCATGGAGCAGAATGACCTGCAACCAGTGCTGCTATTCCGTTTGATGCCCCATGGGCAGGCTTGAGTTCTCCCAAGCAGCCGTTCTGTCAGCGTTTGCTGGACCAAGTACCTCGAATGATTGCCAAAGCAAAGATCCGTTCGCCGTTCTTGTGTTAGTTGCAAACCCGGTTCTCGAGGTGATTGCCCTGGCCAGGCTTCGCAAAGCCTTCAGCCAAGTAATTGGAATCCATGGAAACGGTGCTTCTACGACTGCAAAACCAACAGACCTGACAATTAGCGCATCGATATGTTTCAACACACACTGCAAATATGTCGAGCAACCGCTTCCATGCCTTCTCAATGTCGTTGGCTCCAGGAAGCTCCCCGTCTGAAGTCGCAGTGCCCGCGTCGCTCATGGAATCTGGCACCCTTCGGTGTTGTCGCCAGCTGATGCTACCAGCACAAAGAATGAACCCATACAACCTTCCTTGCGCACAGTCGATACTTATTCAGATTCATTATTCCTTTGTGACCAAGTGACGGGACAGCATTCGCTTTGTCTCTGCTGCGTCTCCCCCAGTCCTCCTCGGTTGCAGCTGCACGTTGGATCAGCCTTATTCCAGGAAGGCGGCTGCGCGGATGATGGATTTGCATGCAGGTTCTGAAGCCTATGCCTCTAATCGAAGTGATTCGGAAATTGTGCCACACCTGCTCAAAAACTGCCCGAATTCCAAGAGACTGGCCTGCTGAGCCCTAAACCTTGAACCGGAACCCCGTTGAGGAAGCCATACATTCAAATCCCAAGCCCGGCAGGCCCGAAGGTCCTTGGTGCGCAATGCTGTTATAGCCAGGGTTTTTTTGCCACCCGTGTCACAGGGTTCAGGGCTTGGGGATGGTTTGAAGTTTATAGCTCCTGCCTACTTGTCCCATTCGTTCGCCGACTCCACTCTCAATTGCCCGCCCACCTGCCCCAGGCAACTTGCCCGGGGCCTGGGGGAGTAAAAATGCTATGCTCTGGCACTGACAGTGTTGCAGAACCTAGCATAAGCTTATCTACCAAAGATTTACCCAAAACAACCCAATCCCGTCATATCCCATCCATAGCCCACGCCGTCGACAAGCTCCTCTCAAGTTGTGTGTGTAATCACTCGCTGGCTGCTCGCTGGCACTCGGACGCATCCCTCTTCTTATTGCAGTGGGCAGATCCCAACCCCGTAGCTAGAAGGCCGTCCATTTGCGGTGGAACGAATGCCCCCGCAACTATTTTAGAGTGGGTTGGAATTGCCCCCTGCAGTAATATGCAGCCGTGGCCCGAAGATGAGAACAAAGAGCAAGAAGCAAACAGGCAGAAACGAAAGCTCCGAGCTGCACGCCTCCCCCGGGAGCTCGTTCTGCTCGTGTTAATTTTGTGCACACGTCTGCTACACACCCAACGTTCTGTTGTCTTCGGTCAATCAAGATATACGTGTCGGTGCGTGGCTGTACTCCCTGGCCCCAAGCTCCCAAACATCCTCCTGGTCACAGGCTGCATGTCTGGCCCCTCCCTGTTCACGTGCAGTGTGTATTGAGTGTATTGTCCACCAAGCGACGAGTCCATGTCGAAACAATCTTCGACGAACACGCCCCTCTTCTTCAAGAAAGCTTTCAAATCGCGCGTCTTCATTCCTTACATGCAATCTGTCAACACACGTAAGCCCGGAAGGCAAGTAGCAGAGCTGATGATCTGCGGACGCGGCATTTCATGTCGGGACAACATATTCTTTCACGCGACATTTTGCCACCCAAGCTGCCATACAGATCCACAATGTCTAGTGGCTCATTCGTTGCGTGACAGCGCAGTCTGGACAAGCGGCCAGCTGTGCCAGCAGCTGTACTGCCAGCTATACCTGGCGCAAGCCAATCCCGATCTTTCTTTGCTAGCCTCAGGACACCTTTGAAGCGCTGCCCCACGCTGCCTGTGCAGAAACTTCTCAGCTGCACGCCGGCAATCATCACGATTGCAGTTGCCAGCGTTCCTCTCACGGCACAGCTTCTGACTTCTGACTCAGCCACTGCCGACGGCATCCACCTTGACTAGACACTTGCGCATTTTCCCGTGTGAGGTCAGGTAGGGACCTTATGCATATACGCCTTCCTCCCATGTTTCGTCACAAGTCTTCAACTAGCCTTCAAAAAATTCGACCGCCTACATGCAGAACTTGAGCAGTGAGTTCTTGCGGACGCTTGCGGTCGCATCGGGCACTTTGGAGCAAAGACATCCATTCTAAGAAGTGGCCAGTAGGGGGGGCAGTGGCATGCGGCATTTTGGTTTCTTTTAGGTGGGCTCGGGGTTGTTTCTATTGAAGGTGCAGCTCGGGTTTCGTAATCGTGCTGCTCTTGCCTAGGCGCGGTCGGACGATCCAGTAATAGGCGGATCGAGGTAGCGTGAACCCAAGGCCCAACCCAGTGCGGCCAGTGCCGACCGCAACCGTTGAGACTGCGCAGAGGCAAGAGGCTTGCAGTGAAGGGGCCAGCGGCTGTGGTAAAGACTCAAAGCACCGAGGCCGTCAGGGATCCGCTTTCCTGTACACTTTCGGCCATCTGGGGTCACAGTGGGTCACACCGCGTCTGACCACGTCTATCCACGTCTCACCACGCAGCTGAGGTGCTACTGGCTTGCTTTGCTTTCGGTCATTTACGCGAGCTGGAGCCGGGTGAGCCGTGAAAACATGCTGAGGGCCAGTTTCGCGTCGGGTTGGACCTGCATGCAAAGTCGCCCGTTTTGGCTTTGCCCGTCGGGGAGTTGGCGCAGAAGTCACGTGGGACGGCGTACCGCCGTGACGGAATCTGCGCTACACACGAGCAGCAATCAAAAGGAAAGTGAGCACACAGAGTATCAGCTGTAGTGTGCTTTGTACAGAACTCCCATAACCCTGGACTCTGGGCTTTACGGGTCGGACCGTAGGCTTCAGTCAGGTGCATCGCTTGAGTCGACGTCTTTTCGCACGTGCCGGATTCTCAAATCCGGTTTGCGTACTTCTGCTTCCTAAACTCTTCTCGATGCTCACGTCTCTAGCCGCCAGCACATAAGCTCGGCTTGGATCAGCGGTGTTTCTTGACTTATGCATCGTGCCAGCATGTGGGAACCGAAGAAAGATGTGCCGAGTGTGATGGGTCCTTTACTGCACCTGGACCTGGCTTGAAGCATCGCGAGTCAGGAGCGCAGCAGGGGCATATTCTGGCCTGAATTTGGCTTGGTTGAGCTGGTGGCAGCCGATGATACGGTCGTATACTTGTACTGCTGTAGACTTGTGCAGCTACTGTTTCGCCTCGTGGGGGCGATGAACCACGTAGTTACCTAACCGTGAATTTCCCATCGCGCAGTCACCGAATCGTTGGCCCGTGCTGAGATCTGCGGCCAGCATCTGCATGTCATGCACTTCAACACTACTTCAACTGCTGCCACACAGAACGCACGTTGGAAGGATCGATTCGGCCTTTTGCGTTGCGAGATTCTGTGCGAGTCGTGAAACCACCGAAGCGAACTCCATCTTGAAACTCGTTGACGGTGAAGAAAGTGCTGACTTTTGCTGCACAACTCTCTTTGATGTTCAAGCACATGAAGAAGTATCAGGGTATGTGATTGTAAAAGAAACAAGATGAAAGGAAGACACAATACAACGCCAGCGCCTGCCGTTGTTCCACAGTTCCACCGGATGAACAGAGAAAAACTGCATTCTCATTTGCAAAGTGGCCTGCGCAGACCACTCAACACAAGCATCTTCGATGTTGCGTTGCGTGCAGACCACTGGTCTGCTGATGGTGGCCACTGCTGTTCCAGCAAGCGGCACGTCGCGAGGGATGAAGAAAATCACACCTACAGTATCTTTCACAGGCCTTGCAGTTCAGTACAGCGTGCTGCGACTTTAGAAGAAAAGAGCAGCACTACTGTGTACAACCACCACCACTAGAAGTACTAGCCGCTGTGTGGTGCTAGGCCTGCGTCAGACGTGCGGACAAACTAGTGGCGCGGGCAGGCTAGACATTTGTCTGCCTCCGGCTGCCAGTGGTGTACCATTGTGCGGCAAAGTTGAATGACAATTCTTGAGCCAAATACTGTAAAGATACTGTATCATACTGTACCCTCCGGCCAACACGCATTCACTGGCTCCCCGCGGCGGGCTCGGGGATAAAGGCAGCGGCACCCTGTTGTCAAGCCAGCAGTGGACCGCTTCGGGACGCTGAAAAGTGCTGAAAAGTGTACTAAGATCCAGGCCAGGTGGGGTTCAATGTAAACTATTTTGACGATCTCTCGGAACCTAAGTGTTGTGCACCGGAAGGCGGACCTGCTGCCCTCTTGGAAAAAAGAGCAGCTCAATCGACATTCCAACATGTGCACCCCTTGACTGCTGCAGACAAGTAGCTGAAAGAGAGCTGTGTGGATCTCTGGCACCACCTCACTAGTGCTATGATGCCTCTCTGAACTCTGAAGCACAAACCAAACTACAAGCAAGCGTGCACGGCTCGCGCTCGCGCTCGCGCTCGCGCACACATATTATATATGTGTATATATAATTCTATATATACATCTATATGTATATATACACACACCCTCACACATACACACATGCAAATACCATAACTAGGCAGCCAATGTGTCCGAGATTCCGAGGAGCGAATCGATCCTTCCAGCACTCCGTTTTTTCAAGAACTGCTTGCATGTAGCATGTGGCTAGCGGCGGCTAGCGCTCAACAACTTCACCTCTGACGCTTGCAAGTGGACATCGGTTGCGTGCCCGCCGGCAAGACAATCTGTCATGATCTGTCCAAATGCAGTTCATCCCAGCGCAACTTTAGATTGACCAAGCGTCTTCTCTTCCAGGGCAGCCAGCCTATTCAAGCTTCATGTGAATAAAACTCACACGTCATCCTCATCCCGATCTGGATGGCTTAATGGTTTGGAAGTTGGACGTCCCCGATTTAAGAGACTTGAGTCAGTTACGCACGGAAACCAAGCGAGCAAATGTTCTTCAGCTGCATCGTGCCTTTGCGCCACTCCCACCGCATCACCGTCCGCCGAAGTTCCCGCAGGTTTTCGTCTCCTTTGCAGAACCACCGAGGTCTTGAAGGCCAAGACTGATTGATGCGTTGAGGTTTTTGCTGTTCAAGCTTCTAATGCGAATTAATACAAAGTATACCAGATAAAGAACTTCCCTGGTCGAAGGCCATTCGGATTTAGGGTTTAGGGTTGGGGCGTAGGGCTGTGAGGCTGAGGGGTCAGGGCTTAGGGTTACAGGGGATCAAGGTGTAGGGTTTTGTAGGCGTCGAGAACCGGCCTGCAGGGTGGAACGGCTATGACGAGATGGGGGGGGGAGGGTCCCGGAACGGGCCTCCTAAACCCTACCGGACAGATCCTTTCAAATATGCTGGGATTGAAATCAAAAATTTAAAACTACAGAAAACGTCGCACTGCAGGCCCGTAAGCTAAAACTACCCTAATGTGTTGAGTAAGCATATTTGGTAATAATGCTTAGTTTCAGAGATTGCGTAGCAGTCAGAGTATGGGCTTCCGTCTTGGTCTCCGGGGGGGGGGGGGGGCCCAAAAAAAAAAAAAAAGCACAACGAAAAACGGCTTTTTGTTTTCCATTATGAGAAGCTGAACTTGAGAGGCTGAAGCCCTCGTTTCCTGTCTAGTATCCTCATCCTTTATCTAATTCTATTGATTCCGTATGCGGAATAATGGGGAGGGCCCCTGCCCCCCGAACCCGTTCAAATTTTAAACTGAAATTTTGACACCCTTAATGAATTAAATGTGAAAGGCACCGGATTTTATGTGTTTAAGGAGTCTTAGGCTTTCAAAATTTCATTTTCAAGTTTGAATGGTTCTGGGGGCCCGCGAGTCCTTCCCATTTACTTATGTTAAAGATTTTCAAGACTTCAAAGGTCTTATAACATTGTTG